TGGGGAATGAAAGAAATTTAAAAATAATAAAACCTCTGAACAGGGTGGACAGAAAAGGGATTTCTGTATATAGTTTGGGTGACAGTGACTGAATGGGACCAGATGTTCTGGAAAGGAAGTCAAATTCCCAGTCAGACATTTTTTACTCTAGTTTTTCACTTGATGAGTGTAAAAGCCCAGAGTCTCCAGGCTGGCCGCTGATTGGTCCATGCTCAGCTCTGCTCTGAGGCAGCTGTCGTCATCCCATCAGACTGGTTTAATACTGGCCTGATCTCTCTGTTGATGGTCTGTGGACACATTAGATCAGACTGCATGTCTAATCTTCCAGTAAGAGGACATTGCAGCAAATTATATTTAGATTGCTTCTGATTTTTTTTCTTTTTACATTTTTAGATCAGTTTTTGGGCGAAATTGAGAGAAATTGCGCCTGATCTTGTTGGTTTATCTCATTGATCCATCGGGGGGTAAGTGGATCTTCTCCTCTGTGTTGTTAATGTGCAGAAGTTCAGCTCTGACTGCTGTCCTGATGGGCTGCGCGCTTCTGAAACAGATGATGCTGCGGATCGAGCCTGGGATGATTTAGCGTCGAGCTGCTGCAGAAATAGACGCAGGCAGGAAAAGACGTGGGCTCCTGGAAACCCAGCGCCTATTGTTTCCTCCATCTGCGCCTCTTCGGGTCGCTGCTCCGCGGAGATGATGTGAGCTGCAGCCGCAGAGGAGCTGTCCGTCTCTCCTGGTGCTGATGCGGCTTTGACAGCAGCGAGCATGGCCGCCGGGAAGTTACTGCTCTACGCCGGGCTCTCCTTGTCTCTTTGTGCCCTGGGCATGCTGGCTGTGGCGATGTGCTCCGATCACTGGTACGAGACCGACGCCAGGAGGTACAAGGAGCGATGCCGAAGCTTTTCCAGCCGCCGGAGGGACCCGGGTTTTATCTACATCCCGAACAACAGCCTGCCGCTGCGGGCCAGCCGCAGCAGCCTGCAGGACAGGGAGCTTCTGGCCCGGAACCGGAGGCAGCTGTTCGCCATGAGCGCCGCAGACGAATGCAGCAGGCACTATAACTCCACCAACATGGGTCTCTGGAGGAAATGTCACCGGCTGGACTTCGACCAGGTCATCGAAGATCTCATCCGAAAAGGTGGGTGCTAAAACCAAACTAAACATCGGATGGTTCTAGTTATTTCCGGTCCCTGCGCAGGAGACGGCTGCTGCGACATTTAGCATGTTAAAGCAATAAGGCCATGGTGGTGACAGGGGCGGACAGCCTGGGGGGTTTGAGGAACTGTCCACTTCAGGACCAACATCACTCACATAACCACCGGATTAATCAGGATAGAGCAGTTAATCAGACAGAAGAGAGAACAAGGTGGCTATTGCCTTAAAGGAATAGTACACCCAAAACATGATTAGCCTTCATTTTCTACTCACCCCCATGCTGAACAACACTCTGGAGTACTTTTTTGATATCTCAAATGCATCTGGAGATCTGGGAGGCTTCTTGCTGTCTGCTGACATTCAAATAATGGAGGTCTATGGTGCCCGAGACAGAAAGGTCCATAAAAGTCCACAAAAAACGTGTCAATATTCCTCCATACTGCTCGTCCAATGTATTCCAAGTGTCCTGAGTGGGTAGCATCCAGAATTTACTCGAAACGAAGTCATTTAGAATGTTTTTAGAGCATAAACAGTAGTGTACAGGATTTCCTGAAAGCGCGTTCACGAGTCTACGGAAACCGGCAGACCAAACCAGATGAAAGTGCGCATTCAGCTCGGCAAAGAACTCATGCTCTTGCTCAACACTGAAGTCCTCAGACATTTTTTTTTCGTTGTTTCTTTCTTTGCACAGGTAAACAGCACATTTCTTCTTCTACGCTTGCATTATCGGCAGAGCAGACGCTGAATGCGCACTTTCATCTGGTTTGGTCTGCCGGCTTCCGTAGCGTCGTGAACGTGCGGGTGCGCGCTTTCAGGAAATCCTATACACTACTGTTTATGCTCTAAAAACATTCTAAATGACTTTGTTTCGAGTAAATTCTGGACGCTACCCACTCAGGACACTTGGAATACATTGGACGAGCAGTATGGAGGAATATTGACACGTTTTTTGTGGACTTTTATGGACCTTTCTGCCTCGGGCGCCATAGACCTCCATTATTTGAATGTCAGCAGACAGCAAGAAGCCTCCCAGATCTCCAGATGCATTTGAGATATCAAAAAAGTACTCCAGAGTGTTGTTCAGCATGGGGGTGAGTAGAAAATGAAGGCTAATCATGTTTTGGGTGTACTATTCCTTTAAAAACCTCTCAGAAACAGTCTGCTTCATCTTGTCCAATCAGTGCTAATTGATAACTCATCATCTCCAAATATTTAAAAGGCAATTTAATCAGATCATTCAGACAGATTGGCTTCAACATTTTCTATTTTAGGAAGCTTCAGAGCCTCAGCTTACTAGGGATGTCCCAAACTTTTTCCATTTCTGCTACAATATCCATATTATAGCTTTGAGAATCAGCCAATATTTATATTATAGTTTTGATAATTAGCCAATTCTGATATTATAGCTTTGAGAACAAGCCGATAGCGATACTATGGCTTGGAGAGTTAGCAGATACCAATATTATAGTTTTGATCATTAGCCGATACCGATATTATAGCTTTGACTATTAGGGAGTACTGATATTATAACCTTGAGAACTAGCCGATACGATATTGACCTGATAATGTATTAGCAAAAATCCTAGCAGTTTTTATTACTTACTTTATACAGTAGGATGTTACAAATATCACAAGGGAACAAAAGTCAACAACAAAAGGTATAAAAATAGCAGACAGATGGAAAATTAAGCAATGAGTTAAAGCAACCTTTAACAGACGCAGAGAGTTTCTATCAGCATGATTTTATATGCCAACCAATATAATCCAATATTAGTTTTTAGTGTAATATTGGATATTAAGATCAGATCGGGACATCCCCAGTATGACAGCTGGCATTTTGTTGCTCTGTATCATTAACTTTGCAGCATTGTACAGCATCTACTTAACAATAACCATGCGGCAGCAGAAACAGGGTAAGTGTGAACTGCCCTCGGCCATAATGGACTAAAGCTTTGAGCAGGAGGAGCATATATACATACACACACACACACACACACACACACACACACACACACACACACACACACACACACACACACACACACACACACACATATATATATATATATATATATATATATATTTATATATTAAGAACAGCAATGCAATGATCCAGGAATAATTTCTATGTTATTTCAAAAAAGTTTAAAAAGTTAAAAACAATCTGCTGGACTTTGTTTCCAAGTTTGAAGACGTTTCTCTTCCATCCAGGAAGATTTTTCAATTGAAAATGTCAGAAATAGCGTTGAGTTGCAGATTTTATCCAGTAGCCCAACAAAGCCTGGTTTCTGTTTAGAAAACATGCAAATAGAACTGGAACATAAGGTCCACCCCTTAGGACTGGGGGTGCATTCTATGTTATTAAATCTCTAATAGCTCTGTGTGAAGTTGATGCAGTTTATTACGCTTTTTGCTTTGGTTAGGTATATCATCAGCAGTAGAAAGGATGTTTTGTTTTAATTTAAAAACCTTTTGTCATTTTTACATTTATAAAAACTGTAGAACTGTCAGATTATGTTAGATGCAGCATGTAAGAAAAATATTACACCATCCATGTTTTCTTCTTTTGCTCACTGTTTTCCTATCAGGATTTTAGTCAGCAATGTGTGCGACCTTTACTAAAAAAAGGACAAATTGCGCGCCCTGTTTTTGTCCTGCAAACTTTGTCCATATGTTTAGATTTCACAAGCATCAGATACTGGAGTTGTAAAAATTGAACTTTATCCGCTGGATGCGCCACATCAACCAATCAGAGAAGCTGATCTGGGAGCTGGCAGGGAGTCAGACACAGCACTGCTGATGCAGAGCGCTATGATCACTCCTCTAAAACTGTTTAACGCCTAAATTAACTGAAAATGTAGAAACCTGCCGGCAGAATATGTTCGCTTTTATTATCCTGCTGCCTACAGTTTTAGCACAGACCTGAAAAACGCTAACATCTACTTCCAGCCGCCACCAACAGGAGGGGAAAATCCCCAAGAGGCTCCCGGGCCTGAGGCAGCTGCTGCTGGGGATTCCCAGTGACAGCGCAGCGCCGCTATGTGGGGGTCTGAGCGGCTCCCACAGAGAAATAATCTTTGAAGGCATGATGGTAATCTGGATGAACTGACTGCACAGACCATGTTTTCAGGAGGACTTTCTCACTTCAACATAGATTCTAACTACTTTTTACCCGCTGATCACAGCTAATATAGCAAAGCTGCTCTCTGGCATTGAACACAGGAGCAGCAGAAGCATCAGACGCATCTGGACAGACTTTACTGGACGTCTGACCTTAATGTGGACACGCATCAGAAAAGAAGCAGCAGGAGCCTCTTTGATGTTATTAGGTGGGAACGTAACATTAGACTTTCTAGTGAAGCTCACATACTTCTAATAAGCAGGACTGAAATAGTGTTGGAACAAAGACACAAGTCAGCTGCATTCCACCCCAAAATGCAGAAAAATAGCTTTTCAGAGTCTAAATTTCAAAATTATCCAGAGGAGGATCCCCCCGGACCCCTCTGCGCTGCACAAAGCCTAAAGATGTGATATATGTGAAATATTCCTAGATAAAAGCCTCCTTCTTATCTTCAGAACAAGATACTGAAGTAAACAAGGTTTCAATCTTTTCTTCCACATCATGAAATGTGTTGTAGGAGAAACATTCTTTAAGTGCTGAAACAATCAGATTGATTGATTAAAAAAAAATAATCATCAACTAATTTATTAATCGATTGATCGTTAACTGGAGTATAAAGACTAAAACATGCCTTTAGCTGACAGAGCGACCCACTTACAGCAGGAATTATATCAAAATAAAAAACAATAATAATAATTTTGCATTTAAGATAAAAAAAACAATGTTTTCGTCTGTCAATCAGCTCTATCCAGAAATCCTCAAGTGGAAAAGTTTTAGTTTCAGTTTAATTTCATAAAAAATCTTCATTAAGGAACCTTTGGCTGATTAATAATTGATTTATCAAAATAAATATTCAACAGATTCATTGATTTGCAAAATAATCGTTAGGTGCAGCCCTCCATTCTTTCAGTGTGTGTCTTATAATGGTTTATAAAACCTTTTTTTTATATAAAATTCTATATATCTGTCTCACTAATCAAAAAAAAAAAAGAAGAAAAAACTCGGAGACAATATAGCAAAACCCTGAATCCTGTTTTGTGTTATACCACAATTTCTAACTGGCTCTTTTCTTTGATAGTCATTCAAACGCTGTGATTTCTTTCTTCGTTCTTTAGCAAAACATCTGTTTCAACGGAGGAACTAATTGATCTAATTACTTGAGATAAAAGTGAAAACATGAACCTTATGGAGTTGATCCATCCGTCAATAATACTCCCTGCTCCTAACAATTTAGAGTTTTAGGGGTTTGATCTAAAATCTGAAAGTTTCTTAGAGTCATGCAGCTTCTTTTCATTCAACACTTCATTTAACTGAGGTTTATTTTTGAATTAGAGTCATGATTAAAATAGTGAAAAAGCTATAGATTATATATTGTTTACTCTAAAACATAAACCAGTTTCATTTTAAATGTCTTCCTTTTTAATTGAAGAGGCAGGTCAGGTGCTGGTATTTAGTTTGTGTTGATGCTTAAATCCCTTTTCTGCCATCCTCACTAAAAATGTCCACAGCTGGATATTGGTTATTTATTCTCCAGGTGAACAGTTTTATATTGTTAAAAACACTTTACAGTATTTCATTTTTTTTATTTTTTACTCTTTACTATTATGTTATTCTTATACATTCTTATACATTTATACATCTATAATCTTTTTGCTGCTGAAAACACAAGAATTTCGCCATTGTAGGTCTATAAAGGGGTTTTCTATTCTTTTCTATTATATTCTAATCTAATGAAAAAACACCACAGATTCATAAGTGAAGGAAAAGTAAATGGACACATTGTATCTGCAGCTGAAATGTTGTGTCTTTTTTAGCACCTGTGGCAGTCTGGTTCATGCTGACATGCAGACACTTCTGCAGGT